ATGAGATTTACACCAAGCAACCAGCGCTGGGGTGAAGTACTTTTAACCTCTGCCTACAACATATTTCTTACTCCAGCCACACCTGAACCTGCTTGGTTGACCTGGGTTAAAAATGCCTCTGCTGTCTTGGCTTCCCTTCCCTCGGGCTGGAGAGGTTACAGTAAAGCTGCTGGCTGAGGTTTGCTACAACAAGGTCCCCAGGTTTTTCTGTCACAAAGCTGCTTCAGAGTCGAATGAAGTGGCAGTGCTTGCAGTAATTGTTTACATCTCAAGTAGCTGGAGAAGTACTTGGGAAAACATTAGTGGAGGTAGGAAAAACTCAAATTGTTCTGGAAGTTATCGCTTCTCTTGACATGAATGACCTCTCGTATGAGTAACACCCAATTAGACACCAAAGCATGCAGAACGGTAAGTCAGGCCCGCTAATGGTGCAACGAATCAGTAACCTAGATATACTTTACAAAATCTACTTCACTAACGTTAGTAGTAACCATAGTAAAAATGTCTCTGCCAATTCACACTTCACTTTAGGTGACGCAATGATGATGACTCCGTGGCTTTGTGTCACCAAGGAACAACATGGAGGAGCTGTTGCCCTTCCTGCGTCCTCAAAGTAGAAAAAGATGGTGGGAATAATGCATCCCTTTAGAAATAGTATAATCTGAGTCTTAGATACCACTTTTAACTTTAATCGTTACAATAGGTGATACTTACCCCTCATTCTGAGGGTAGATTTTTTCCTATTTCCTACTGCAATTTAAGTCTTTTCTTGAGGGTCAGCATGAGGCTAGGCTTTATGCTTGCCCTCACCCTGGTCCCACCAAAGCCAGGGGAAAGACCACCACCCATAAAGGGAGCCCCTCAGCTTCCTTCCCTAGTTACAGAGGCAGTTTTTAGTAGTTCATTTCCTTGATTTGTTTCTAATAAATAGAAATAAAATCAGGTGTGAATGCCTACCAAGTGGATGCCACCTGACTAACGTAAGAGGAGGGAATGGATTTCGAATCTGAAACTCCCCATGGGATGGGGCAGGGGGAAATTTAAAAAATTGCTTCCCTGAAAGCCAAGCTCATGGAGGGGCTGAGTGATGGAGCGCTTTGCGCTGTGCCATCAGCAGTTTCTGATCAGGATGCTCGGATTGCGGGGTTTCAAGGCAGTGCTGCAAAAACAAAGGACGAGTGGAGTTGAGCTACTGAATGTGGCAAGAGGTAGCTGCTGGTGAGTTTGGGGGATGCGTTTGTTCTCCTTGGTAATAAAGGCTTAGGTCCAATGCAGACTTTTGGGGTATTTCTTACAGCTGATAATTAATAATCTATGCCAAACTTTGCATTGCCTCACGTGATTGTTGTGAGGACATGGATGCAAGAGGCGGATCCTGTTTGCCGTGGCAGGAGCTGTGCATGAAGATTTCTCCATCCCCGGAAAATCACAGCCACCTCTCTTTCCTGCCAATGTCCTGGAGATGCAGCAGGCAGGCAGGCTGTGCTGGCCTTTCAGGGATGGTGAGGACCGAGCGTGCTGCCCCTGGGCATTCCCAAGCCAGCAGTTGCTTTTGATGGCATTAGTTGAAGTTAGTACCCCTCTGCCTACTAAGCCTCTGCTCCTAGCCATGACATTTAGTTAAATCACTTTCTGCACAAATCTTTGCTGGCAGAATATCTTTGCCTAGTAGGAACATGAGATATTTCCTTTGTCAACACTGATAGTGGACCCTAACCCACCCTTTGGGTTTTGGCTAAGAAACCGATCACATCTAGGTCACAGCTGGGGAAAGCGAAGGAGGGAGGAGGAGCTCCCCTGTGCAGCTGGAGGGCGTGTTTCTGCCTGGGTGCTTAAATTTCACCCTTTTCCATAAAGCTGCTGCTGTGATAGCATTTGCTGTGGTTACTGCTGCTATTATGCTTGCAGTAAATGTACCAACCCTGCTATGAAATTGCTGGTACAGCTAATGCATGACGATATAATGGAAGAAGGGTGTTGAATCAAAGTTTCCAGGAGACCTTAATTTTCACATTTTCCTGATTTTTTTAAGGACTGGGGCTTTACAGCTTTATTATCTCTCACTTTGTGTGTGCATGCCTTGTCTTCTGTTGTGCAGGATTCAGACCTGAAGTCCCATCACTACAATGTCTGTAACACCCCAGTGCCCTCTGCATCACCACCACAGCCCTAACGCAGGCATCTCTGGGTGCATGTGGCATCTGGGTACCGGCTGCCCAGGAGCCCACCTCGTCCCAGCCTGTGCCTCTAAACCGGCTCCCCACAGTGATGCTCACACAGCCTGGGGGCCTTTCCCAATGAATAAAAAAAGCATTAGTGTCTCTGGGATGTGACCATGGCAAAGGGCTGGAACATAGATGTTACGGCCTGGTAGACTTTTAAATTTCTCCTCTCCTTTGACAAAGCTGGATTTTTCCCTGCAGCTCCACTAAGAGCAGCTGGAGAGCGAGCCGATGGGAACTTGTGTGTGAGATGGGCAGGAGGTGAGAGGGGCTGTGGTCCCTGCCTGATTTATCTGTCTGGGAAGGCTTGGATTTAACTGAGAACTGGGTTGCTGGACCAAGTATGGCTTAAGGCTCCAGGCATACGTAATTCCTTGTTACTCCTGCTAGCTGAAATCCCAGTGCTGCACTTGTGCACCCCAACGCTACACTAAATACCCCAGCTTGCTCCGTGCTGCGGGGATGCGGCTGAGGAAGCAGTGGGGATTGCTGCAAAAGGCGACGCGGGCCGCGCAGCTCTGGTGCGCCGCCGTTCCCGTGGATGGGTACCCGATACGCAGCCTGGCAAACTGTCAGGTTACGTGCGGGGCTTTGTTTGTCTTTAATAGACAAATTTTATGCAACTTCAAGTCCCTGTGCCTGGAACAACCTGCTTTAATCCCCAAGGAGTTTGGATTCAGGGCATTGGGAAAGGGGAAGGAGAGCAGGAAAGGGGTGGTGTCCTCGTCTCCGTGGCTGGCAGGCATTGCTTCTCCACAGCGGGAGGTGAGAGGACGGATGATCACAGGGCAGTATCTTGGCAGCTTGAGCTCTGCCTCAGACCTCTGTACGAGCTAAAGCAAGATAGCTGCCACCTCTGTGTCCTTCTCCCCTGAGCCCGAGGGAAGGAGGTGGGTCGGCTTCTCAGTTTTCTTGTGCCTTGGGGCCACCCGTCTGCTCCAGGGATTTCAGCAGTGGCCAGCTTGCTCCATCATGTGGGAACTGGTAAAGGAAGAAACCAAGCGGTAGATGTCCCAGGAGGGCCTGGCAGCTTATGGACATCTCTCTCATTCATCCCAAAATAGGAGGGGAACAGGAAAACAAGCTTGGCCCTGATACAGCCAGTTCCTGAGACTCAAGACCGTGACTTTTTATGGACCTGGCCCCCTGATTAGCACGTGAATCAAAGGCTGAATCTGCTTTTGGGTGCATGCACTGCTCACTGCTCACTGCAGTTTGGCCTCCAGCTGTCTGCTCGCTTTTTAATCACTCAACAAAAGCCGTGGGGTGGTTTTATATCTGGCTGTGGACACTACCTACATCTGTAGTTGTATAGGCTTCTTGTATAGGTTAGCATAAGAATTCCTGTGCATGTTTAAGAGAAGGAAATATTCTCAGTAATAATTTTTTTTGGTTTGTTTTCAAGCTTTCCACATTTTATATGTAAGGGGTTTTTTTTTCCCCTCAGTACCATGCTTTCAGGTTTGCTTCTCTTTCTCCAGTGATACACTACAATTACTCTCTGTGTTTGCATCCCTTTTTGGTGCATACACTTTAACTCAGGAACAAAAAAGTGCTGATTGTTGTTCTGCTTCATTTTTCAAAGCCAGTTCATTTTCTAGGCTGTGTAGAAGACTGTCAGTCACTTGCTGTAGGTATATAGCACCCCACCCACATGGCGCCTTCCAAGTCCTCGCTCTTCAATGGAGCCAATTGTTTAACCATGTTTACAACTTGTGCTATTTCTGGAGCGTTTCCTAAAAGTTGATGGGTTTAAGTTCTGCCCGCTTGAGGGTTTAGCTTTCTGCTCCGACATGTTGTAGAAGAAAGTGCCAGAGCCAACCTCCATGGACGTGTGCTGCAGCACCGCTGCGCTAGTGCACAGGCAGGTGGGACCTGTGGCATCTCCCAGGGTTTGGATCCCCCATGTCGGTGTGGCTCAGTGCTCGGGGGGGGTTGGGGTTTGGATCCAAACCTTCCCAGCGATGGAGCGGTGTCCAGGTTGCACATGAACCCGGCTGAAATTCAAGCTGCCCATGGCCCATCCTGCTCTAACAGCAGGATGTCACCGTGGTCAAGCTGATTCACAACTGCATCTACCCACTCGTGAAGTGTGTGTTGGGGTGGATCATTGAATATAAAATACGGCTCATTTGCCTTTTGGTCCTTTGGTGGAGTTTTTGTTTCCTTTTGGTGGAATTGCTACATGAAGTTTCACCTCTTGTCTTCTGATCACACTTGGCAGAGCAGTGAGACCTAGTATCTGGAGCTCTGGCAACACTACAGTGTGGACATCGCATCCCACTAGAGATTATTTTATCGGCTTTCTTGAAAACCTTTCTCTGTAGGAAGGCTTTTACGTGGCAGCTCATCCATCAGGTGTCTGGGGTCATCAGCCTTCCACTGAAATGCGTGTTTTTCTGCTGTGACTGTATCAGAGGACCCAGTTACACAGGTAGGATCCCTTCCTCAGTGTCTGTGTCTGCCCAGACTAGCTGAGGTTGGCAGGCACCTCTGGAGATGGCCAGGTCCCACCTCCTGCTCAGAGGAAGATCTCCTGGTGCATGTTGTCCAGGGTTTTGAGGATCTCCAAGGATGGAGACTCCACACTCTGGACAACCTGTGCCAGAGTCTAACCACACTCAGAGAGAACAAGTTTTCTCTTCTGTTTAAGCAGGATTTTCTGTATTTCAATGTGTGCCCATGGCTCCGTCTTCTTCACCTGTCCCCATCAGGCATTTAAACATGTGGATAAGACCCCCTGAGCCTTCTCTTCTCCAGGCTGAGCAGTCCCCACTCTCACACAAAAGCTGCCCCAATCTCTTCATCATCTTCATGGCCCTTCACTGTGCTCGCTCCAGGAAGTCTGTGTGTGTCCCCCCTGTACTGGGGAGCCCTAAACTGGACCTGGCGCTCCAGATGTGGCCTCACCGATCCTGAGAAACACGGAAACAGGGTACAATATCGAATGCCAGAGACCTTGCTTTTGGGATCCTTGTTGGAGGGTACAATAGAAAGAAGCAGCATTCCTGTTACCGCAGTGGGAAACTAAGCTGGCCCCGGGGTATTTCTGCAAGGCAGTAGGTGCTGTAGGTTTTTATTCCCCCTCTTGCATTTTCTTTCATGAGATGTAGTGCTTCCCAAACAGTGTTTTCTAAACACAGTTTACTGAGACATGTTCTTCGTTGCTGGCCTGTGAGGTTGGCAAGCGGCTCGTGTGTTTTGTTCTCTTCAGCGGGCTCAGGGCTAGCTGTCTAACAGGGCTGAAGCGAAAGCAAATGTTTTCTGCCATCAGCAGCTGGCCTCACCTCCTGGCAGAGCGGTCGTCTGTGGGGTTTTTGCCTCCTTGCTGGGGTGAGGCTGGACGCTGAGGGTACAGGGCTGGTTAGGGAGCACCCCGGCTGCAGGCGCTGGGTGCCTTACGGTCACCAGCAGCCCCCCTGGCCAGAGCCTCTCGGCCGGAAGGCTTTTACGTGGCAGCTCATCCATCAGGTGTCTGGGGTCATCAGCCTTCCACTGAAATGCGTGTTTTTCTGCTGTGACTGTATCAGAGGACCCAGTTACACAGGTAGGATCCCTTCCTCAGTGTCTGTGTCTGCCCAGACTAGCTGAGGTTGGCAGGCACCTCTGGAGATGGCCAGGTCCCACCTCCTGCTCAGAGGAAGATCTCCTGGTGCATGTTGTCCAGGGTTTTGAGGATCTCCAAGGATGGAGACTCCACACTCTGGACAACCTGTGCCAGAGTCTAACCACACTCAGAGAGAACAAGTTTTCTCTTCTGTTTAAGCAGAATTTTCTGTATTTCAATGTGTGCCCATGGCTCCGTCTTCTTCACCTGTCCCCATCAGGCATTTAAACATGTGGATAAGACCCCCTGAGCCTTCTCTTCTCCAGGCTGAGCAGTCCCCACTCTCACACAAAAGCTGCCCCAATCTCTTCATCATCTTCATGGCCCTTCACTGTGCTCGCTCCAGGAAGTCTGTGTGTGTCCCCCCTGTACTGGGGAGCCCTAAACTGGACCTGGCGCTCCAGATGTGGCCTCACCGATCCTGAGAAACACGGAAACGGGGTACAATATCGAATGCCAGAGACCTTGCTTTTGGGATCCTTGTTGGAGGGTACAATAGAAAGAAGCAGCATTCCTGTTACCGCAGTGGGAAACTAAGCTGGCCCCGGGGTATTTCTGCAAGGCAGTAGGTGCTGTAGGTTTTTATTCCCCCTCTTGCATTTTCTTTCATGAGATGTAGTGCTTCCCAAACAGTGTTTTCTAAACACAGTTTACTGAGACATGTTCTTCGTTGCTGGCCTGTGAGGTTGGCAAGCGGCTCGTGTGTTTTGTTCTCTTCAGCGGGCTCAGGGCTAGCTGTCTAACAGGGCTGAAGCGAAAGCAAATGTTTTCTGCCATCAGCAGCTGGCCTCACCTCCTGGCAGAGCGGTCGTCTGTGGGGTTTTTGCCTCCTTGCTGGGGTGAGGCTGGACGCTGAGGGTACAGGGCTGGTTAGGGAGCACCCCGGCTGCAGGCGCTGGGTGCCTTACGGTCACCAGCAGCACCCCTGGCCCGAGCCTCTGGCACGGGGGTGCCTGGGGGGCTTGCAGGGAGGTGAGGCAGCCACTGGCCTTTTTGCACAGAGCAGGCCAGCATGGCGAGGCTGCCGGGCGCGAGCTGCAGCAAAGGTGTTTGTGATTTTGTTTTCAGCTGTATTTGCAACCGTGCCCAGCTCTTACCTTTGGATTCCCTATGGGTACTTCTAAACTGGAGGTGCTTTTGGATGTTGTTAGGGAATAAAGGACTATTTTTTCTCTCTGTACACCACAGCCTGACATTCTCTTATCCCATGCTTTATCTTCTGCCCTGAAGGAGACTATTTTTATGCTCTCCATCAGTGTAGTGACCCCCAGCTGTTTTATATCTGTGCTCCCAGCAGTCGTTTGGCTTACCCTTGTTTGCTGATCCTCACAGATCTGTGTTTCTTCCCTGCCTGTGGCGGCTTCTGAGCTGGAGAAATGTAACTTTAATTTAGCTTTTTATATTAGTTGCAAAGGGAGAGACTGAGAGGTCAGGCACTGACGTGGAGTTCAGTTCTTATGTAGGAGCAGCACCAAACAGTAAAGCCTATAGAAATAACAAGGGTGCAGGGGTGGAGGTGCTCCTTCCCCTCTGAGGTGCATCCCACTGATGGGCTCAGCTCACAGCCAGAGGTGGGAAGTGCCTTCCCCTCAGGGTAGGCAGGAGCAGAAGTGTTTGGGAGCTGTTCCTTGAAAAAGATGATGGCGAGAGACTCGGGTCTGAGTTACCCCCAGGCTGAGCGGACAGGCGCAAGGAGCAGAGGCATGGGGTTGGGTTGCTTGTTCTGAGTGTGAATCTTCTCCCCCTCTCTGCTTGGGGATCCTTCTCCCAAGTCACCAGATTCTCTTCAACACGTACAAATCTCATCAACATGTACAAATATCTCAAGGGAGGAGGTGGGAGGCAGCCTGGGAAGTTCTGGCTCCACACTGGGACCTGAGGTGCCACCTCCCCTGGCACCACCACTGCTGCCAAGCGGGGGTGAGGGAAGGACCTTTCTTCTGGGTTGGCTTGTATTTTGGAGTGACGTTTCCCAGCAGCAAGAAGAAGGGAGGAAGGAAATCTTATCTGCCTATAAAAGGATTGCCTGCCTGTATCCCACGTGTGGCATGTGACTGGGATGATAAGAGAGGGTGTGGAAATCCTATAAACCATATCCCAGGGCAGGAGGCTCTGGCTTTCTGCTTTCCCCCTTTGCCTTTGATATCTCCGACCCTCTGACAGGTCCCTGGAGCTGCTCTGAAGAGAAATGCAAGGAGAAGCAAGCACTCCAATCACACTGACGCAACTCCAGTCCTTCAGCAAGCTATATATATATTTTTATTTTATAGTCATTTGAACAGCGGAGATTTTGGCAATAGTGACGGCCTCAGCAGTGTGCACTCTGCGTGTGTGTGTGTGTGTGTGTGTGTCGATCCCTCCCGCCTGGCTCTCCCACTCGACATCTTGGAATACCCACCATGGTTCTTTTTTTAAACAAAGCAGCAAATTGAAATACCCGTCCTGTGGACTCCCCAAGAGCATCACGCCTTGACACCCCCAACCTGGCAGCGCAGGGGATGTGACCCGAACCAGAGGGGTTATTACCAAGCACTGAGCTGCAAAGAACTGCTGATACCTTTCAGCCCACGGCCATCAAATCAGAGTCGGCAAAGCTTTGTTAAGCTGTCAGGGTGACCTGCACTTCTTTCCCATCGTTGCTGTTTATTTCAATTTTTTTTTTTTTCTTAAACCCTTTTCTCAGCAAAAAAAACTACTGAGGCCAGACCTTCAGCTGGGCATGACTTCATTGGCACAAACAGCAGATTTATGTTTGCTGAAGACTGTGCCTGGACCAACAAAGACTGCAGTATTTCGGCTGGGTTTCCATCACTAAAATAGGTCAGATCATTCCAAAAGCTGCTCAAGTGAGTTGTTCTGGGGCTCGTTTTCAATAGACAGTTGTTTTTTATACGGCAGCATATTCCCTAATAGCATTACATTTTTGTTATTTACCTAATATTTCCATTCTATACTTTCTTCTATTTCCAAGAATATATTTGACTGACTGTGCTGTAAGTCATCACTCCTTCCTCCGTGACACCGGAGAATAAATAAAGGTTTTGATGGGATATTTTAAAAGATCTGGCCATGGGTCTACCTCTCCCACTGAAATCAGTGAGACATTGGCTTCTGACCGATGAAAAAAAAGGCCAACGAAATGGGAAGCGCTTCTGGAAAGGACGCCCTCCTTCTCAGCGAGTCGCCCCATGCCTGGTTACTTGCAGATTCATTCATGCACATACATAGCTGGATGAGTTGGACGACCCGTTGAGCAGCTGGCACTCAGCCAGGAAGCCCAACCGCATCTCTCAATGCAAAGCAGAGGTCTCAAACTCCCTCTGCTCGTTGAGACGGGACCTTGATCCCCAGGAGCGGGGGGGGGGGGGGAAAATCCCCTGATTTGGGGCGCTGTGAGGGACGAGGAGCTTGATCCCGCGTGCCTCACTGCCAGGGCTTATGGGGAAGAAAAACAGGAGAAGAAAGCGGGAACTAGCTTTGCTGGTGTCCCAATGAAGCTCAGCAAGATGGGAAAGGACATTGCAGAGCGACAGCGCCGGGCGGCCGAGGTGGCTGTTGGCAAGGCTGGACTGCTGCGCTGGTTCTTTGCCGAAGCAACTGAGCAGTCCTAATAAATTCCTTGTGTAAAAAAATATATCTATAAATCGGGCCTTAGGAAGAACGATGCAGCTGCTAACAGGGCTGGATGTGGACAAACAAAATGCTCTAACGCTCTCTAAATCCGGTACCGAGCCGTGACAACTTTCTTGGCAAAAATGTGACTCTACTTGGACACGTGCGCGCGTGCGTGTGTACGTGCGTGTGCACGTACGCATACCTATAGCTCTATAATCCTGCTGCCAAAGGGGGAAGACCCAGGTTGCGGGTGGGCAGCGGGGGGAGCCCCTGCCGCTGCACAATC